GTGGGGTGAGTCAGCATATTGCAAATGACCCACAAATGTTTTCAAACCTAAGACCAGCTAAACAAACATTTGTTAGCTTGGCAAATGGACAACAGTCTGCTGTTAAAGGGGAAGGTAAAGTTTATGTACCTGATATTGGAGAAACATTGGATAATGTAATATATGTACCAGAGGTAGACCATAATTTACTCCATATTTCAAGCTTGGATAATATGGGGTATGAAGTACTGTTTGCAAAGGGTCAATACACCATCAGGAAAAGTGGGAGGATTTGTGCACAAGGTGTTAAGCTGGATATAATTTATACGTGTTAGGAAAGAAGCAGGATGGTTGTGCACGAACACTTATAAACACTCCCACGCATGATAATTGCATACATTTATTACACAGGAGGTTAGGTCATGCAAATTTTAGAGTTTTGCAAAGGATGCCAGACCTAGTGGAAGGACTACACATTAAGCAACGCAACACATATTTAGATTGCACTATTTGTAAGGAGTCAAAGTCCAGAGTGTATCCTGTAAGTAAGAAAAGCTCAAGGCTTTTACAATTAGTGCTGTGGAAAACTAAAATATTGGCTATTGTTCTTTTATGCAAGGTTTAGGTCCAGGTGAACTAAATCAGGCCTCATGGACAAAGTATTGAATCAAAGTCTGTGTTATGCTTAATTTTGCAGTTTGCAATTGTACTTTACTTAATATGATTTTGCTAAGCTTGCTTGTTTCAAATATATTTAGAACATAAAGTCTGGAACAGTAAGAAATAGGGAATTGAAAGTAGCTGATGGATGCGGGTTCCAATGTACACGGGTATATGTGGAAAGTTATGTTCAGCAGAAGGTCAGCAGGAGGTCAGTAAGAAGTCAGCAAAAGTCAGCGGGCCATCTGATTACAGTCTTAGAACAAGAAAGGGTATAAAGAGTTGGGTCTGGACCCGATTGATTTGCCATTGGCCTATAGCTGTCCTTTGGAATTTGCTATACCAGTGGACCTGATTGCAATGGATTATTAATGTAAGTGATGTGGTATTATTATGCTTGCTATGTTCCAAATTATTAGCAAAATAAACCTCTGAATCTTAAAGTAAGAATTATTGTTTTGTGTTGCTGTTTTGTGTTCTTTTCATTGGGTTTTTTCCCACAACAGTTGTGATGCATTGGCTGGGAAGAGACGGTTGCTGGAAGATTTCTGACTACTTCCTGGTTTTGGGCTACAGGTAACCAGCCCACTCTCTCTGAGCACTTACAATCTACTTTGGATCAGAGGTAAGAAAAAGGCCCCTTTCCTTGGGACCTTAGGGTAGATAGATAGGGAAATTGTTGTGATTTAGTTAGTTAGTTAAGCCTGTTCTCCTAATCTGGCAGCAAGGGAAGGGTCACAACCAGACTTGCTTTGGGGACCGACTGATTGTGTAAAGGTGTCATACTTCATTGGCAAAACAGTCGGAGCTGGTGTTGTGACTGGGACCCGGTGAAGGGATGACTGTTCTGGGATTTGATCAATCCCTTGTATTGATTAGAGGTCATGCCTCTGGGTGAGAGTTGTGCTCTCATGTGATATCTCTTGCAGCCTCATTTATGAGGGGTTTTTTTGCTGCCTCATCAACGACGTTTGGCAGGAAATATGGTTATGTCATTTTTCCGGTTGCTGGTGATTTGCAGATTGAGCTCTGAAATTGCCATTTCAAAGTTTGTACTTTGGGTTTTTATTTAAGTTGTGTGAAGATGAAGGTATGTTGTTTTTATTTTCACCCCTAGCTGATATTGTGCATTGGATTTTTTTTGTGTGTATGAAAAAAGAGATAGTGTTTTAATTCTTTGTTAAATTTGGTAGTTGTGTTATTTTATTCAAGACTAGAAATTAAGACAGAGTTGTTGTGGGCATTTAAATAAAAGTTTTGGTTTGGTGCATTATTATGGGTATTTTTGGAAGTTATGCAACTGTTTTTTTAGTATTGTATTCCTGACAGGAGAGCAAGTGCTAGTAACCTCTGCTACCCATCAGCATACAATCTCCAGCCCAGACAGCACCACCAAGAAGTGAACTCCAATACACTTCCCTTTGAGGAGGATGTAAAGTTCTTCAGTTGTCTGTGTTCTCTCTGCCTTGACCACCTTTTAGAACACAATGGAAGCCCACATGAAGGAAATGATCTGCATCAGAAAAATGCCTCATAGTTTATTGGCATTTGTATTCTTTAATTAAACCTACTGAGGTTGTATGTGTTTCCCAATAAAATACTTTCTTTATATGCCCCTATGAAACTATTGTAGACCTTTTACCCCAGAATCCCTCTAATCTTATCTTTTTGCTTCTGTTTTGCGTTGTCCTTACGGACAAGAAGTGGGGACTGTGGAAAATGAAAATATTGGCTATTGTTCTTTTATGCAAGATTTAGGCCCTGGTGAACTAATTCAGGCCTCATGGACAAAATATTGAACCACGGACCACATTGCAATGGGTTATTAATATAGGTGCTGTTGTGTTATTATGCTTGCTATGTTCCAAATTATTAGCAAAATAAACCTCTGAATCTTAAAGTAAGAATTGTTGTTTTGTGTTGCTGTCTTGTGTTCTTTTCATTGGGTTTTTTTCCTGACAGTGCACACTGATTTAATTGGTCCTATGGCGCCCTCTCTAGGTGGAGCTAGGTATGTACTAGTCTTAGTAGATGACTATACCAGATATGGGTTTTCCTATTTATTAAAAAGCAAAACAGAAGTCCTACAACATTTAGGCAGCGAAGATATGGCCATAAAGTATGCCAGCTGCAAACAGATAGGGGAACAGAGTTCATGTCTGACAATTTCCAAAAGTAGCTGAGGAACTTAGGCATAAAGCATAGATGTACAAATCCATATTCGCCAGCAGAAAATGGTGTGGCTGAATGGAGGAATGGCATATTGCAAACCATGAAAGATTCACTGCTGGCAGATACAGGAATGAGTAAAACGTATTGGGGGAAGCCATGAAAACAGCCAACTATCTAGTAAGCAGGGTATGGAGTGTTGCTATCAATGAAACTCCATATTGCCTGTTATATGGAAGGAAACCTTCATTGGCTCACCTAAAGACATTTGGCAACTATGCCTGGGTGCATATTCCCAAAAGCACCAGAAGGAAAGGACAGAAAAAGTCCAGGAAACTTAGGTTTGTTGGATATAAGCCAGGTTCCAAAGGGTATAGATTCACAGATGGAATAAAGAAGGTTGTAATTTCAAGGTCTGCTAGTTTTGCAGAACAAAACAATTGGGACAGGGTGCATGCTAACACCGAAGTGTCCATGCCAACACATAGTGCTAGTTCTCAGGAAGGAGAGACTACACAAAGCCCAATGAAGGAAGAACAGAATAGCAGGTCAGAAATAGTAGGAATAGAAGAGGATAGACCCGAGGTAAAGAGAGAAGTAACAGAAACACAGGAACAGATGATACCGAGGAGGTCTAAACGTAGCTATAAAGGTGTACCTCCTGATCGGTTCTCAGCAAGTGGGGTTAAAGCGTATGAACCCTATAATTACCAAGATATGTTATCATTGCCTCAAGTAGAACAGTATAAATGGAAGGAGGCTATGGACAGAGAAATGGAGTCTATGAATGTGCATCAGGTGTTTACCCTTATGAGATTACCAGAAGGAACAAAGGCTGTGGATTGTAAATGGGTATATAAAAAGAAGATTTTACACAATAATGAACTGCAGTATAAGGCACAGTTAGTTGCAAAAGGATTTACACAGAGAAAAAAACGTTCATTATGATGAAGTATTTGCACCAACAGTAACAGGTGAGACCTATAAAGCCTAGCATTGGCTTTAGCAGCTGCACGCAATTATACCATATATCATTTCGATATTACCACTGCATATTTAAATGCTGAATTAGAGGAAAACATATATATGGCACAAGCTCCAGGTTATGAAACTAAGCACCCTGGATATGTATATAAATTGAATAAAGCCATATATTGGTTAAAACAGTTAGCAAGAAACTGGAATCAGTGTTTAGATGCTGCTCTCAAAGAGTTAGATTTTAGAAGCAGCAAGGAAGATCCATGTTTGTACACTGCACAGTATAAGGGTGCAGAGTGTTTCCTGTTAGCTTATGTTGATGACTTGTGTTTTGTTACTAAGAATCACTCCCAGGTTGACTCCTTTGTCAAACAACTTGAAAGGAAGTTCCAATTAAAAAGTCTAGGGCAGTGATGGAGAACCTTTTAGAGACTGAGTGCCCAAACTGCAACCCAAAACCCACTTATGCATCATCGAGTGCCAGGTGGGTGTGGCCCATTGGCTGGGCATGGCCCATTGGCTGGGCGTGGCCCATTGGCTGGGCGTGGCCCATTGGCTAATCGTGGCTGCGGTGGTAATGGCAGACTGGGTGGGACTAAAGAGTTCAATCAATCAATTCCAACTTTGCAAGATCTTTTTTTTCCCGCGAGAAATTGAAATTGACTGATTGAACTTTTTTTTTTCACACGGCGGCGAAGGCCTAAAGCGAAACGTTTTTATAAAACCCAGCTGAAGGCCTAAGACTTGGGTGACGGCGCGCATGCCCACAGAGAGGGCTCTGAGTGCCGCCTCTGGCACCCGTGCCATAGGTTCACCACCACTGGCCTAGAGGAAATAAAGAATTATCTAGGTGTGGAGATAAGAAAACCAAAACAGGGAAGATACGTGATAAGCCAAACAAGGAAAATAAAACAGCTGTTAGAAAAGTATGATATGCTAGGCTGTAACAGTGTATCAACTCCTTTGACACCAACTTCCAGAATGATATAGCAGATGACACAGAATGTGACCAAAAAGTGTACCAATCAGCTATAGGTTGCTTATTGTATTTATCCCAATGGTCAAGACCAGATATAGCCAGTGCGGTTAGCATTTTGAGTCGGCACACTTCAGCACCCAGACAACAATGGTTAGGAATAAAAAGAATATTCAGATATTTAAAAGGCACAATGGACCTAGGACTAAGGATAAGGCCATCTTATACCCTATCATTACAATGCTACGTAGACAGTGACTGGGCAAATGATATACATGACAGGAAGTCAAACATAAGGTTTGTGATATTGTTTGCTGGCACCGTAATTGGATGGAAATCCAGAAAACAACCTTCAGTAGCACTGTCAACTGCTGAAGCTGAATTTATAGCATTGTCTGAAGCATGTTCTGAATTAACCTGGTATGTCAAATTACTAAGAGATGTACATATTGATGAAGCTGTGCCAATATTTGAGGACAATATTGCATGTATAAAGATGGCAACGGGAGAATGTATTGGAAGCAGAAGCAAACATGTAGACATAAAATATTGTAACATCAGGGAGGCTGCAAAAGATAAACTAATAAAGTTACAGCATTGTTCCACTCACAACAATATAGCCGATATGTTGACTAAGTATTTAAATGCAGGCAAGCATCAAGGGTATATAACAGCATTTGGGTTAACAGCTGTTTAGCTTTAAATGGAAGGAGTGTCAAGATAATGATTTAACAGCTAATCAGCTTATGTAATGTAAGATGTAAGATGTAATGATGGGAATGGTTCAGCTGGGTCTGTGTCTCTTTAAGAGCCTTTGTATAAAGGGAAAGCTTCGCTGATGTATTCTCTCTCTTCCGTTTCCTGCTGTTTCCTGTGTTGGATCCTTCTGTATTAGCATGTGTATGTATATTATTCCTGGTGTATGATATTGTAGATAGTGTAAGATAAACCACCAATTAATATAGACCACTGTTTACTGCGTTTACTCCTGGGTTATCTCGCACAATAAGACTGTGCATGCTCTGACATAGCCATAGTAAATAAATTCTCATCTTCTGCCCTAAAGATCACTGGGGGTTACTGAAATATATCTTTACAACTCTAAAACAATAGAAAGGTATTTTAAAATTATTATCTAAAAACAAAAATCCTTTGACCTATTTGCAATCAATCATATAACTGAACACTACAATTCAAGGTGAAAGGTTTGCACACTGTTAAATAAAGAACTGGGTACTACTAATTAGCAGAATTAATATTCTAATAAAGGGTCTTACTATTTTGTTTTCCTTTGACTCTTTAGTATTATTATTATTGCCCTTAATTTATTTAAAACAGTAATGGGGAAAGTGTGGCTGTCCAGATCCTCCTGAATTACAAATACGGTTGCTATACTTGTCATTCAGTAATATTTAGCAGATAACACATTCCCTATTCCTTCTATAAAGCAATTTTCCCCAAATTGAGAACCTTCCCAACAAATATCTGGGATTCATTTGATGATACATTTGATGAGGACACCAAGCGATTTCTGAAGACAATTTTAAAAATAACTCATATGCATAATTACTGATATATATAGAGAGAGAATCAGACCCCTCTAAATTGTCCATTATTTAGATCCTAGATCTAAACCTTCCTTGCTGCTTACGTGTTGTATGAGGGTCTCCACAATTTTATAGCGATCAGGCATATGTGTCACCATGTCAGTCATGTTATCCTCCGACGTTCGAACTAGGGTGGGACCAAATACCAAGGCAAGATTCCGCGGCTCCATCTGCAATACAATCCATTGCATTTTTGTTTCTATAAGATGAACAGTTGTCAGAAAGGCTGGAGTGAAGTTATACATCTTATCTATGCATTCATGTCACATTAGCCTCTCCGCTTTGAGCTCTAAGAAAGCCCTATGATTTTTTCATGCACCCCATCCAAAGAATTGTTTCAAATATGGCAAAGAGCTGACTTCAAGGGCAATTTAGACTCAGGAAAGACAGATTTCTAAATTCCACAGCACACAAACAAGCAGAGCAGGGTTCATATAGCAGGAAGGGATGTTGAAATTAGCACACTCATTTCATATTCTCCTAATACAATGGGGAAATTAGAAAGTCTATTATTTATATAACCTTTTCACTATAGATATCTCTGTGTGGAGTTCAATAAGGAAGGGAGCAAACTGGGTGTCTAGAAATTGTCTTTTATATAAGGACTACAAACAGAATCATTCAAGAAACCAATCCTAAAACACCATATGGGAGTTCATCAAAGTACAATAGAGGAAGATTTTATTTAAACCAATGTCAACAAGGTTCAAACTCTGCTTAGACCATTCCTAAAATCTGTTGCTGGGTAAAGAAAAAGGTAAATTCTGGGGACTTCCAAGGGATTAGCGATATTTCTTGCAATGGCAGCTGTTCCTTTTAAAGGACAATAAATTTGCAAATCTCACTTTCTAATCACTTTCAGAAATTGCCTATTAATCATTCAAAGCTATTAGAGACCTTCCAAATGACAAGATTGAAAAATCTTCATTGGATGAGTTTATCTTCAACTCTGAACAAAGCAAAAATTAACTATAAGTTTAAGAACTTATTTCTTTGCTGAAATAAACAGCAAAAATATTATATAATGTGAATACTGGTTCAATCTATACATTATAAAATCAATTGGTAATCCATTCACAAAAATAATAAGTGGGTAAAAGATTCTTGTACTTCTTAGCTAGAAGTACATATTCAAGAAAATTCAAAAAGGAAGACTTTTAAGAAAAAAATTGACTTAAATTATATATGGAATTCAGTTATTGATTGATTAGCATTGATTCATATGCTAAGCATTGATGTTAAATCTCTCTTTTTTAAAGTCTCTTTGGAATTATATTATTTTGAACATTAATTAAGATGGGAAAAGGAAGGAAGGAAAGGAGGAGGGAGGAAGGGAGGGAGGGAGGGAGAAAGGAAGGGAGGGAAGGAAGGAAGGAAGGAAGGAAGGAAGGAAGGAAGGAAGGAAGGAAGGAAGGAAGGAAGGAAGGAAGGAAGGAAATTTCTTCTTGGGCCACAACTGTCCATTCGTGCTACAGACTACTTGAATTAAGATAGCAATCAAGGAAGGAAGAGAAGGAGGGACATTTCCTTTTGAGGCAGAATTGTTCATTCTTGCTATTAAAGCAAAATCCTTTCAGTGTTAAATTCTTGGGAAAAGGTTTCCACTCTAATGGATATTCAAGAGGTGATCCTTGACAATCCATTACGGAAAGCTTTTCCTAACCATAATCCACAAATGCCATAGCCTTTCTTTTGCCTGGGAATATGTTGCCAGGAGTACAGGATACAGAACTAGCACAGCTTTCTTCATTGGTGAATTCTAGACATATTAGGTTGTTATGTCTATCATCCCCAGCATTTATTCCAATGATTGGAAATCATTAGAGCTTTAACACATTGGAAGAGAATCAGATTGGTGAACAGTATTTTGAAAGATAAACTGATAAGTTCCCAGGTAAAATCTTAATGATTTGCATCCCACAATCAAACAAAAAATTCCATTTCCTAGATCATATAACCCCTTAATCCTTCTTTCCATGAAACAGCTGAATATTCGTATTATACACAAGTCACTGGACAGGAAAGGGAAGGCAGGTGTAGTGAGCAAACATTACCTTATTCTTCTCAGAATGATCTGCAATTGTCTTGAGGTGTTCCACCAGGAACTTAAGGGTTTCATAATAATGGCCTGGTAAATCCCGGATCTAAATCAGAGGTGGAAGAAATATAAATATAAATATAAATATAAATATAAATATAAATATAAATATAAATATAAATATAAATATAAATATAAATATAAATATAAATATAAATATAAATATAAATATAAATATAAATATAAATATAAATAATATAAATATAAATATAAATATAAATATAAATATAAATATAAATATAAATATAAATATAAATATAAATATAAATATAAATATAAATATAAATTCATATTTCTTTTTGCTGACAAGAGTTAAAGATTTAAGTGGGAGACTAGTATAGCTATTTCGGACTCATTTGTCCTCATCAGCTAGCCACACCCTGTAATGTATCGCAGTTGCGACTTGAGCCTGCTTAACGCCCCTAGTTGGGGGGCTGCAAGGCAAAAGAGATTATAAAAAAAAGTAGAACTGCAGTATAGCAGTCAAAATGCCAAGGTGCAATCAATCAGATCAGTCTGTCTGAAAAACTTTCTGATTGATTATATATATATAATCAATCGGGAGTATTTATTTGTCTCATTTTATGACTAAGATCCTATTCCAATTTCTCTCTCCTTCTCTAGTTTAGTTTTTATAAGATCTAGTTTAGTTTTTATAAGATCAATCCATTATTTTGCTTTTTAAAAATTGACACAAAAGAAGTGGTACCATAGGAACATGTCAGCTCTAGAATGTCACTGCTATTCTATAATGTATATTTACGCTTACAAGAAAGTTTAAAGCATACCAATAATACATATATCTTCATATGTCCTGCACTATGATATGGCTAGATAATGTTTCCTAATAGTACATGTTCTCTGTTCCTTAGGAAAAGTATGTTTTTCTTGCTCTAATACTGCCCACTATTCCTTTCATTAATGTTGTGTGACATTTCCACCTCAAGCTTGTTTTAAATTAGTTACCCAGATGGTTTTCAACTGAATGAAGAATGCTTCAGTTCTAAATTCTTAAGAAAATAAAGTATAAAAACTTCAAAAGATATATAAAGGAATTACCAGGCTAGCAGTAATGATAGTGAGTGTTAATACATAGGAAAAGAGGAAAGAAGGTAAGGGCAAGTGTGCTTGGCAATGATATATAGAATAAAAGAACCAGTTTATAGATCTACATCAAGCCAGCATATTACAAGCCCATTCTGTCCTCTTCTACAGGAGACTGATTTGTATTTTGACATGTCTTTTCTCTTTTATAGGTTCAAGATTAATCTTTCACAAAATAACATGATTGAGCAATCTGGGTCATTCTCTACAGTATCTTCCTTAAAATTGCATAGTGTGAGACATCAGGATTCAAAGCAAGTATTGTATGGTCTAATTGTGTTCAATGAAGCTGATGTATTGTTGGTCAGAAGTTGCACTAACTGCCTAGCTATATTAAGCTCAATATAATCTTCAGTGGCTCAGAAAGACTTCTGATGGAAATCTATCTCTGGCCAGTTAAAAATGTTAGAGACTGAATCTTCAGCACAAAAGGAAGTGTTACTTTTCATTATGAAGATTGTTCCTTGTTGGAGTGCAGAAAGCATACAGGATAGGCTCAATTATCCTATCCTGGATACTCTCCATCTCCTCAAAATAAACAAGTGTTCTATCACAAAACTGCAGCCTTTCCTTGCAAAGCAGAGACCAAATGTTCACATTTCCCCATTTAGCTCTCCAAGGAAAAAGCCAGCAGGAATTTCCAGGGGCATACCAGTTTGCGTAAGGTCTTCATCCTTTCACTGGCATCTTCAATCCGGTTGGCTTCAATAAAGTCATTGTACTTATCTTGAAAAAGAAAAAACATTTGTGATTTGTGGTATCATCTTAGTACAAAACAAATTGAGGAGTTCAGAACAAGTGAGAACGATATTCAAAATACGTCTTGAAAGACAATTCATTTTTACCATCTAATTTCAGCCTTGGGATTGGGAGTTAAGGTATCTAGAGCTGCTAATTTCTTAGTTTACTTACTAACTTAATTTCTGAAATCTGAAATTCTAATTTATTTATAAATTTTAATTTATTTAATTTCTGTGTTAGATTTAAGTGGCAAGAATAATTTAGAAAACACTTGACTGTTAATTTTGGGGGATACAACATTCACTCTTATCATAGCCATGAAAAATTACAGCATAGTATTTGGGGGCGGGGGGAATAAACAAATTTCTGAAATACCAGGTGTGATTTCAAACACTTTCCAAAGGAAAGATGAGATTAAAAAATAAATCTGGGTTAATTATCTGTTATCTGTAAGTTATGGGACCTATATAATCTGACATATCTGAAAGGAAAAGCTATTTTAAGGTAACTGCTTCTTAGTTATTTAGAAATTTAAAACATGAGACACACCCTGACCTCCCAAGGTTTTGGTTGCTTGTAAAAAAACATACTGTATATTAGCTGAATTTCTTTAATTTATATATTTTTTTCTTGCCGCATCCTATTCTCTTCCATGACTGCATCCAACAATGGACTGGATTCATCCAGCACAGCTTCATAGACCTCATACTATTCTCAGCCTGAAAAAAAATGGTGTGCCTACAATCGACTATTTGAATTCATCAGTGACCTGATGTAAATAGAAAGCAAGTGAAATAAACATGTATTGCCATGTATTTTTACCAACTAGAGTTTTTAGTTGAACATAAGGAACGTGCAGCTTCTTTTCTTAACAAAACCTCATTTACAGATTGTAGTGAATAGATCTGAAAAGGTCAAAGAGTGCAGGAGTTTCTTTCAAGACCTGGAGACAGGAGACGAATTGGGAAAATTTCCGTGTTACTGGTTTGGGAAAAGATAATTCTAGCAGGCTTCTTGAAAACCTTTATAACTTACCTGGCTAAAACATTTGATTTCTTCCCTCCTGAAATTAAACTATGCTTTCTCTCTCTCTGCTAAACCCAGGGCTGCTTGGAGATCTGCATTTGGAAATTCTTTATTTCCTTTAAAGAAACTAAAATTTTTCTACATTTTTGCAAGCAGGAAAAGTATTACCTAAAGAATTCCAGGAGTGGGAAATCATCTTCCCTTCTTGATGTCTTGCCACTGACTATGGTTTAATCAACCTCCCACTGTCCCATAATTACCCGGGACATTCTTTTCTAGCCTCCATCTTCTTCTGAAATAATCAGATGAAATAGTCCTTACCTCAGCACACAACACATATTACCATGCGGTAATGTAGTAATGTATGTTGTGATATTATTACCACAGTTGAAGCATGCAATGTGCAGCTGTGAGAACTGCATGACAATAACAAGTTACCAGAGAAGTAAAGAGATTTTCCCCCACTTCCCACAATCACACTCCAATTGGAACTCAGGCCCTAAAACAGGGGTGTCAAACTGCCGGCCCACAGGCCGGATGCATCATAGCAAAACTGTGCCCACCCCATTGCCGGCAATGGCAAAAAAGTCGCAATTCGTCGTGACACGTCAGGTGACATTGCGAGTTTGACACCCCTGCCCTAAAAGCTTGAATCAGTTCCTTTTCTCTCAGTCCTTGAAAAATGAAAGTAAAACTGAACCCTGAGTGATTCTGTAATTCCAATCTCTACACCTCTTAGACAAGTGTGATTTACCAGCTATGGCTTGAGCAAGAGAGAAACCATGCCTCAAAACCAATATAATCAACCAGAAAAAGATCATACAGAGTCCCTTAGAAAGGTTCATATTTCCTATCTGAATTTCTGGGAAAAATCATGTTGTTATCCTGACTGGTAAAGCAGGCAAGGGATAGTAGGCTGCCATCACTCACCATCGGTAAATAGTGGCTCTGGGAGCTTCCGAAAGAAGGACTTCAAGAGGCTGCAAATAACATTCAAGTCTTGCCATCTCTGGGAATGGAGAATGGAAAGATTCTTTGACACTTATTTCAATTTTGATTTTCATTTATTATTATATAAAACATTTTACATTTCTCAAACACTTTAAAAAAAAAACCTGCACTGTTGATTTTTCCAAGATTTTTAAAGAAGGCAAATGACCATGGCCAGGGCAACCAACATTCTCCACTGGCTTCATCTACTTTTTCTAATCAGATTGGCAAGTTATGATAGGGAACTGCATTTATGCATTTGCAACTGTAAGTATATTGGTGGGTCTTCTACTAGAAGAAGCCTATTCCTTTCTTTCTCTGGGTCTGCACACAAGACTAATAGAAGGAATAATGATATTTACTCTTTCATAAAGACTTGAGAGTAAAGTTTACATAATCTTGTATGATCTTTATGCATTAAAATTCTAAACTTCCATTGTTTTGAGCAAGAACTCCTGTTGCCAAACTGACCCAGGAGATGAAAGCTACAATCCAGAAGATCTGGAATACAAACTGTTTAAAGTGCTCAAAATAATTCAGATATGTTTGCTTTTATAATCCTTGCAAGAACTCTTAACAATAGGAAAGTGATATTTTCTTCACACTATTAATAATGAGATTAAGATTGATAAAATGCTAAGACAAGATAACAAATAGTATTAGTATTTGTATTATTTATTCATTTTTATTTATCAAATTTATTTGCCACCTATCTCACAGTGGAGCTATTCTAGATACCTTACAATAATAAAAAGGAAGAAATGAAGTGTAAACAAAACAATAAAACAACAAAATAATGAAAAAGAAAACAAGGAGAATACCTCTATATAATAACAAAAGAAGAATGGGTGGAGAGCATAGAGCAAGGGGTGAGGTAGGGTCTGCCATCAATATAGCAGCCACCTCCATATTAATTCAATTTTCAGGCTACCTGCTCATAATATGAGATTGGAAGAATTAAAAGGATTAGAAATATCCAAGTACAAGTAATATATCAGTAAACATACCATGCTGTGGATAAATAAATCACAAAGCTGGTAAATTCAACAGTGGGGTGTGATTCAAATAACTATTTGCCTAAGAAAGTAGCTAAAGCTCAAATTAGAATGAGGATATCACATCATACCTTATCTAGTATTTTTTATTATATCCTGCTAGATAACTGGTCTCATTTCTTGTATTAGAAAGGCCACTGTGGACTGGCTTTGGATCTGCTCTGCAACTAACCCAAGACAATACATACACATGTCTCATATGTAAATACATGTACTATAAGTAAATGACAGCTAGGTGTCAGTACTATCTAATAAGTACTGGGATATTATTTCAATAGAAGTGAAGAGAGCAGACTGTGAACTAAGCAATCTTATTCTCACCTCATCTTGCAAGTTGATTTCTGCTGCCCCTTTGTTTAATTGTTCTTGTAGGCTGGATACCACAGCATTGTTCCCTGGGACTCGATAGATGCCCATGTATTCCAAACCTTTGTCTTCCACTACTTTGCAACAGGCTTCCACAATCAGGGGGATTTTCTGTGGAAGACAAGAGGATGAAGATACTGGTACCAGGGTTGGACACCTTAAAAATGTAAGTTCCTTTTTTGTGAGTTAGAAGCAATTTGAAGCCTAAACCAAATGACTAGCCACAAAGATATACCATACATATTATCTTTTGGATTTCAAGCACATTTCTTTTACCAGAACTCAAAGCTATGTACTATGGAGCAACTTCCAGATCTGAATACTAATGAAATCTCCAAGTTAAAAGTTTGGATTTTTGTCTTTTAAGTGGGGATGAAATTCAGAAATTAGTTTCACATTTCCAAAGAAATCACAAACAATATTATGCTCCAATCAGATCTCAAGCCATGCTAATTTTGCTAACACTATGTTCCATCTTTCTATTTAGGAACATGTTATGTGGAAATATGACCTGTTTCTCAAGAAGTAACACTATATCTGACAATCCACTTCTTCCCATTAGATCAAAACTCAATTTCCTTTACTGCCCCTTCCCCAATTCAACATAAATCTCTTTCCCTGCATACACTTTCCTACATATTTAACTAAACCAAAAAAACAGGCTAAGCTGTAATTAGGTTCTAAGCAGAAGGCTCACAAACTAGATCCTGTGGCAAATTATTGGACATGTTGAATTGATAGCAGTTTTCCCTTAACAAAGTTCCCAAGACACTGTTCTTTTCTTATGCAGCATAAAAGACCTAAAACAACTGAAAACAGACTACCTTGTTGTCAGGAGCTGGCTGGCAGTCTTCTAACCTTATACCAAAAGCTCTTGGAACAGGTTTCTTGCTCTTCTTCATTAAATTGATGCCCCAAGGAGCTTTCTGGGGAACACTGTCATCTGGACAGAAGAGGGAGAAAAAGAGAAGACCATTAACTGAGGGAAAATATAGCAAAAGTATTGATAACAGAAGAAATTATGCAGTCCAGTAATTATGAGGAGAAATAATGTGAGATGAGAAAGAAATAGCATTTTATTTTAAAGAATTCATAACCTGCCCTACAGAGGATATGAATTCCAGATTTATAATGAACAAAAAATAATACATCCATGGCAGCGGACCTGGTTATCTTCGAGACCGCCTCCTGCCACAGATTACCCCCCACCGACCTGTACGCTCCCACAGAGTGGGTCTCCTCAGGGTGCCGTCAGCCGGACAGTGCCGGCTGGCGACCCCAAGGGGGAGGGCCTTCTCTGTGGGAGCACCCACCCTCTGGAACGAACTGCCCCCAGAGATCAGGGTGAT